GGTTTACAGCGTTAGGGTTACGTTTAGCGTTAGGTTAAGGGTTAGCGTTAGGTTTAGGGTTAGGTTTAGCGTTAGGTTAAGGGTTAGCGTTAGGTTTAGCGTGAGGTTTAGCGTTAGGGTTAGGGTTAGGTCAAGGGTTAGGGTTAGGTTTGAAGCGTTAGGGTTAGGTTTAGCGTTAGGTTAAGGGTTAGCGTTAGGTTAAGGGTTAGCGTTAGGTTAAGGGTTAACGGTTAGGTTTAGGGTTAGGTTTAGGGTTAGGTTAAGGGTTAGGGTTAGGTTTGGGGGGGGTTAGGGTAAGGTTTTCGCTTTATTTTTACATTTATTGATCACAGCGCGATGTTTTCGTCGCGCTGTGATGACGTCACGTACGTGCTTTTGTCTACCGCGGTTTTGTGGTGGAACCAAAAAAACACCTTCATTATCAATCTGTGATCTCCTCGAGCCTGCTATTCTAGCTCTCCCAGAATGATTACATTTGTGCAAAACGATAATCCCAAGTTCCGGGAAAAAAATGCTGCTTGTTTACCATCAAATTGGTTGAAGCTGACCAAGTTGGTTCTTTTGCTTGCAGGAAAAGGTTTAGCTTAGTTTCCGAATCAGATTCCTTGCTGGGCGACTGCCAATAAAGTCGAATTGTCATAAGCCAACTGACTCCTAATTTCAAAGTAAGAATTCCCATTTTGAAAGCTACAGGAACTGTTTCCTTCAACGCAAGACCATCGTTTCAGAAACTTCGTCCTGGCTGTTGAAAGAATGAAGATGTGGAGAAGGGCTGTTCTGGAATGATCAGGCACCTGATATTGGAAAGTAATCCACATAAAGACACAGGCAAGGGTTTGGCAGGAACCAAGTGTTGCAATGCTCTAAAGCAGGGATGTCTGACCTTGGCAACTTTAATACTGTGGACTTCAAATCCCAGAATTCCCCAGCCACCCATTTCAGGGAAGCTTTCTTCCTGACTTACTTATTTCCTATAAATTATAGTTGCTCCATCATGAAAAGCTGTAACTGCAACCTGGAGTTTATAGTCAAGTCACAGGCTGACCACGTACACCAAGGGTACATCTTAGCCACTTTCAAGACCTGTGGACTTCAACTCCCAGAATTCCCCAGCATGGATGAGGAATTCTGGGAGCTGAAGTCCATAGGTCTTAAAATGGCCAAGGTTGGACCACCCTGCACTAAATAAGAGATGGATATAACTTTCAGTCCCTCCAAAAGTTATCCTAACTCCAGAAATTTGTATCCAATTGTCATGTTTAATGTAATAGGAGGGGGGGGGATAACGAACTAAAAGTAATCTTCAATATAAAACATTCATTTAGTGATTGTTCAAAGTTACAACAGCACTGAAAAAAGTGACTTACTACTGATCCCGACACAACTATCCTAGCACCCCAATAATTACATAATCGAAATTCAATTGCTTGGCAATCAGCGTGTTTATGAGAGCTGAAGTTTCTCCTGATCACCAGCTGTGATCTAGCTAATCTCCGGCAAGCAAAGTCATTGGGAAAAAGCTGGATTCACTTAATGACTATATGATTCACTTAATAACTAGAGGGATTCACTTAACTGTAGCCAAAAAGTTTGCAAAACTAGGCATGACTCACTTGTTTAACAGCTATATCCCAATTGTAGTTATGAGTTGAGGACTACCTACACTTGGGAAGTAACCGTATTAATAACACTTAATTGAAATGTTAAATAAGTTTATATATTATTGTCAGGAAAATTAGATGGAAATGATCATAAGCCACACAGTATCAAATTTCACTTGAGAAGGTTGTTATCTTTGCTTTTAATGTAAGTTAAAGGAGATTTATCCTTTTATTCTGATGCACCTGCTTTTCAGGAAATGTAAGAAAAGCCTTCTTATAACATGACAGCCAAAGAAAATAATGCATCAAGGAATTTGGCTCCTCTTCCACGATTTGATTTCTCAAAGAGCAGCTTTTGGCTTGTGCTCCGATAGAGTTGGAAGCAAGTCACTGTCTAAATTAAGTGCTTGCATACTGAAAAGTGGTAATGTATTTCCCTTTTGCAGATGGTCCATACTTTTGACAATGAAAATGCAAAAAAATAAGCTCTACCAGACAGCTTTAGAATCACCTTATCTTCTTCAGTTAGAAGAAAATTTGCCAAAATATTATAAAATATCAAAACATAGTATTTTGTAGAATTCCACCGTAGCAGCAGCTTGCCTGAAAATATGTTTCTGGAGGGGTGTTGAAGTGTTGCAATCTGAGCTTGTGTATAATTACATCTCTTTTTTACTAACAGGATGTGATGGGTTCAGTCTCGCATGCTCGGGTTTTGCATTACTTATGTGATACCTGAGTCCACCTGGATGGAGAGAATCACTCTTTCTGAAAACAAAAGCCCATTTTGTGATTTGTCTCTATTTTATGTCTCTACTCAATAAAATCCAGAAGGGGGCAGGATTCCTTCTTATAACAAAAATGTTGCACGAAGAGAATATTCAGAATCTCATCTCCATCTCGCCTGCCTCCTTCCAAAAGTGCAGGGGAAGATTTGCCAGTTGTTCTTTGACTGGGCAAGTGATCCTCGACTTACTGAACTCACAATTTATGTTGCTGAGCAAGGCAGTTGTTAAGTGAGTTTTATCCCATTTTACAACCTTTCTTGCCACAGTTGTTAAGTGAATCACTGCAGTTGTTAAGTGAAACTGGCTTTCCCATTGACTTTGCTTGTTAGAAAGTCACCAAAGGTGGATCACACAACCTCGGCACACGGGAAGCATTGTAAATATTTGCCAAGCATCCAAATTTTGATCATGTGTCCATGGGATGATGCAATGGTTGTGTGAAAAATGGTAATAATTCACTTTTTTCAGTACCATAACTGAGCTGCCACCATATATGTATATGTATGTGTATGTGTATGTGTATATGTATGTATATATGTGTGTGTGTGTGTATGTATATGTATGTGTGTGTGTATATATATATATATATATA